TAAACAACAGAAAATTTCTTCTAATTCTCATGGCTCTGGGGGCTAGAAGTCCCCAGACTGGCTGACCTGGTTTTGCTGAGGACCCTCTTCATTGCTGACAGACGGCCGCCTGCTCACTGTGCTCTCACGAGGCCTTTCCTCTGTGCATGCTTAGAGGGAGATTTCTCCCTTCCTCCACTTGTGGGGCCACAATCCGGCTGGACTAGGACCCCACGCTAATGACCACATTTAACCTTAATTACCTGCTAAGTCCTCATCTCCAAGTACAGTCACATTGATGGTTAAGATTTGAACATACGAATTCTGAGGGATCACAGTTCAGTCCACAGCACATAATGTCACATGGCAAATAATACTGGGATCTGAATTTGAACCCCAACTGGAGCCCCACTCTTCCCAGAATGCTCTGCTGACTCACTAATCCATGTATGCTCCCAGAGACACTGTAGGAAAGGGCAGGACTTAGAGCTGGAGGCAGCAGAGCCAGGCAGCCAAGCGCACAGGCTGAAGGGGCCAGAGGGAGCTGGGATCCAGCTCCGGGACTTCGGGCACATTGCTCTGCACTCTGTAAAATGGGGCTGTAAGAGAGTTGTTCACAGTGTCAGCATGCCGGGAGAATTAGTAGGATGGTGCAAGTGGAAGGACAAGCAGAGAGGAAGCCTATAGCAGAAAGTCTGTGGAAGCTGGGGACTCTCTCCACTGATACGTTCCAAGTGTCCAGAACAGCACTGGAACTTACTATGTGCTTAGTAAACGTCACAATTGTCATTAGTGACCAGACTACCTGGTTTGTGGGCACCAGCTTTGCTTATCACCATTATAATACTCTGGGCAAGATGCTGAACTGGGTGAGCCTATTCCCTGTTGGCAAAATGAGGATAATAGTGACTCCGACCATCAGAGCTGATGTGAGGATCACCAGATAGTCGAGGAAGGTCTTTACCCAGGAGTGCTTCACAAATGCTGGGCATCACAACCAGCGAAGAAAGAGCTAGGCTCCCTAACCCCTCTGTGCTGGATTTTCAGAGCATGGCAAGGTGATATTCGATACAGGAACACTGTTCTGGAGGATAAGGGAAGTTGGAGGGTTCACCCCAGTCACAAGCCAGGAGACTTGACCCCTGCTGTCCAGGGGTAAGCAAGCTGTCCTCACTTACTGTATCTGTGCCTCACTGGTGGGTGAGGAGGTGAACAGTCTACTGGCAGGCACCATCTACGGGCCCTGGCGGTGGGGGCATTATGATTCTATGAAGAAGGTGGAAGGGTGGGAAGCCTGTGGCTAGGGCAGCAACCATCAATGCAGACACTAGTGGGGCTATGTGTTGTAGGGGAGCTCAGGGGGACGATCAGCAGCTGGACTCGGGGGTGTTGTAGGGAGGGAGGGAGGGAGAGATCCTCAGGGACAATTCCCCAAATCCTGAGGAATTCTGGTAAATTCCCAGGGACTTGGTGCACTGGAGAATGTAGTATTGTGGGAGAGATGGGCCAACAGTGTGCCCATATCTACTCCTGAGATCACAGCAGGTCCAGGGGACAGATGCCAGGAGCCCAGGACTGCCAACAGGTCTGGGCTTTCAGAAACCCACCATCCTCAGAAGGAAGATGAGGCTCGGCTGAGTGGGTCCCTAGGAAGCTGGTCCATGCCCAGCCAGGCCCCAGGTAGGGCTATTTTTGACTCAGAGTAGGGGGAATCTCTATGGGGGACGCTCCCCTCACTGGTGGCTTCTCTGGGAACACGACTGCTGCCCATCTGCCTGTGCTGCCACCCACACGTCCTTCTTCTCACCAGTCCCAAGGAGTATGAACACCCAATAGACAGACTCTGAGTCCACTCTGGCTGCAAGGGGCCCTCATGAGGTCACATTTAGGTCTGCTCTCTCCTATAGGGACCTTGGCCCAGCAGGACGTGCCCTTCTGTAGATATTCTGGCTAAGGAACTCGCAACCGCCCTCAGCCCCCTCCTTGCTTCTCTCTGTGCCCAATGTGCATTGTCTACACTGAGCCTGTACCTCCTGACCTCTACCCCACCACTCCCCTGACAGTGCTCTCACCACAGCTGCCAGTGGACTGTGTGGCCAGACCAGTAGCCACTTTCTAGGCCTTAAAATTCTTGATGTGTCCTTTGCCCCTCCCTGCTGTCCAGCTTGTATGACACTGTTTCTCCTGGTTCTCTTCCTACTGTTCAGACTCTCCCTCCTTCAACCCCTCTAGGTGTATTTCTGGCTTTGCCTGAGGCTCTCCTGGTTTCAGCACTGAAACCCCACAGCTGAGAGCCCCTCCGTCCAGGGCGAATGGGGATCATTGCTCACCCTAGACTCACCCTGCCCAGCTGGGTTGCTCCATGTCTCACTCTTACCTCTGCTGTCTTCTCAGAGTCCCTGGTCTCCTAAGGGTGCTCACCCATTTCCATGGCTGCAATCCCTGTCTGGCGGGGCCGATCCCCAAATGACACCCAGAGCCATGAGCTAACTGCCCAATGAGCATCTCCGCTCAGATGTCAAACTCACCACGCCTATATCTGACCTGCCACTTGGCCTCCGTTGCAATGAAGAGCTCCACCATCCCAAGAGCTATATATTCTAACATTCCTCCCCTCTTAATCTCATCTAATTAACGAACCAATCTTGTCATTTTACCTCCTAAATCTCTCCACTGTCTCTAAGCCTTTCCTTCCCCAGTCACTCCCACAGTGTGGTTACCACCATCTCCTGTCCCAGTCAGGACAGAGTCTAGAGGGAACGTCAACAATGGCCATTCCCGGAGAGTGAGTATTATGGGTTGAATTGTGTCCTCCGCAAATTTGTTCCAAGTCCTAACCCTACTATCTGTGAATGTGACCTTATTTGGAAATAGGATCTTGGCAGATGTAGTTAAGTTACAATGAAGTCATCAGGGTGGTCCTAATGAAGAAAAAATGCCACGTGAAGACAGCAACACAGGAGGAAGAGCATGTGAGGGAGGACAGAGGCAGAGATCAGAGGAGTGATGTAGCTGCGACCCAAGGAGCGCCAGGGACTGCCGGCCACCCCCAGAGCCAGGAGGAGGCAAGGAGACATTCCACCCAGGGTCTCACTGGAAGCATGACCCTGCTGACTCTCTGACTTTGACTTTGACCCCCAGGGTTGCGAGACAATAAATTTCTATTGGTTAAAGCCACCTGGCTTATAGTGCTTCATTTTGGCAATCCTAGGGACCTAATATAGTGAGACATGGGAAATTCTTATTTTCTTATTTATACTTTTCAGAATTTGAGCTTATTTGTATTGGATACATAAGACTTTATGATCAGGAAAATCATACTTATTCTTTAAAAATAATCCTCACTCAGCAAGAATCCTAAACTCACTATTGGATTTATGTCTGAGAATTGAAACCATCAACACAACTTCACTGTCCCAAGAAACACTTGCCTACGAAGATAAAAGTTACAAATAAAATAAATTTATTCTTTGTTTCAGGAACTTTGCAAAAAGCATCAAGATATTTGACTTCTTAATATCATCAAAAGGCTGTCTACTCTCCAAGACTCTTTGTAACACCTGCCTTGCTGTGTCCCCCAACCCTAAATCAGTGGTCATTTGTAGTCAAACCAATTTCATTAATCCTAATGAATCTGAAAATGCAGACGAATCCCATCCCTGCCTTTGCCTTTCTGAGATCTTCCGAGACTCTGTCAAGGGCTGCACCCTTTCCCATAGTGAGCAGGCATCTCGGCTCTGCCTCATCAGCAGATTGATCTGGTAGTATTTTCAGGCCTTCTACATCCAATATATCTGAAGTAATTGAGTTTATCAAATGCCTTCTATGTGCAGAGACTGAGCTAAGCACTTAATATATACCATTTCATGGTATCTGCTAAATGAACTGTTAAAAGAGAAGCTGAAGCATATTAAAAATTTTAAGAGTTTATTTGAGCAAAAATTAATTCAAATCAGGCAGCATCTAATCTAGCAGATACAAAGAAGCTCTGAGTCTACAGAATGAAAGACTTTAAAGGCAGGAGGGAGCCAAAGTGAGAAAGTTACACCAGGCAGAAAGGCAGATGGGTCATTGCAAGGTTGCTCTCCTTTAGAAGGTGGCAGGGGTCCATCAGGCAGGTGACCTCACTGTGGCTGGTCAGGGGGGATCCCCGACTGCCTGGTGTAAGATTACATTTCTGGGGGAGTCAAAAGTGTAATTAAGTGAAGTCTCAGTTTGGAGATGTGGGGCTTGGCATAAGTGACTCCATTTTGGGACCCTTGTCTTGGTTTTAACAAAGCCCAAGAGTGTAGAAACGATCCCTGTTTTGCAGCTGGTAACAGACAGGTAACATAAGTGGTGTGCCCCAGGCCACACCATTAATAACAACAGAGCCTAGGTCTGGCTGACCACAAAGCCTGTGCTCTGAGTACTCTGCCTCTCCAAATTCAGTGAGGATAACTCAGAGTACACATACTCCTATGTCTGACTATTTTTGGGAACTTGATACTCGCTTCCAATTATCCTGATAATTGCCTTAAGTGGACAGACTCCACCCTGGAAGACCTCACCTGGCAGGTTTCCTGAGGGGAAACCCTGTAGAGACCACTCCCATCTCACACAGAGGCAGCCCCAACACCCAGGACTTTCATCTCTCTGCCCAGGCCTGAGACTGTGAGCCATGAAAGGCAAATGGGCTTCGATGGAAAGCAGGCAATTACTTCAGGCAGTCCCTTTGCCCACAAGGCACAGGTGCGACAAGTTAACAGGAAAGAAAGAGTTGGACCCTTCGTCCAGCCAGCAGGAGCACGAAGCTTGTTCTTGTGTCTGTGCACCCTTGCCCGACTCCTGCCAACTGCAGGCCAGATTCTTTCTTCTCCTCAGCAGCAAATGTACATGTTTGCTTTAAAGTAGGCAGAATTTGCCCATGGGTGGTCTTTGATTCGGAATAAATCAACCTCAGAGTAGTGGCTGACAAGAAACAGAGGCAGCTTGACTCATTTGGCATTGGGTAGTGGTATATGTGTGCAGAATTCACTTACCCAGAAGAAGAAGTTGAACACAAACAGCAAATACTTCAGGTAGACAACCAGCCAGTCATCCTGTTCAGCCTTGTAATGGGCCATGGCTACTGGGCCTGCAAAGAAGACACAAATGCTGGGCTGGAGGTCCATGGAGAAACTCCTCACCCTTGCCAGAGCTCCTTGGCAAGGTGCCCGCCTAGCCAGGGGAGTCTGAGGCTATGAGTGTGAAACCGGGAGCAAAGAGCAGGGAAATGCAAATACATGGAAGTGAGTTGGGCAGAACTTTCAAGATCTTGGTTCTGTCCTTTTGACTCAGGTCTAACATACAAGTCTTCCTAAAGACGGTGCACTGGTCTTGTGGTGTTCTTATTCTCTCCCCGGTGTCATCAGATTTGTAGGACATGAATTTACTTGTCTTACACACACACTCATATATACACACACACCATACCTACTTTGCATCAGAACCCTGTACTCTGCATCATTTCAATAGGACCTCTGCATGCATGGGTGAGGCATAAGCCCCAAATGACAGTGTCTGTGTTGGAAAGGACTTTGACAATTATCCACCCCAGCCCACCTCCCCCTGTACCTCAACTTTCCAAATAAGGAAGCAGGTTGGCAGGCTTAGTGGTCTGGCTAGATGAAGTCCAAGGGCTCTGGAGTTTGACTCCCCGAGATCAAACCCAGATCTGTCATAAGACGTGTGGGACTTTGGACAAGTCCTATTCTTCAGTGTCCTCGTCTGTACATGGGATAACAATGATACCTACATTGTAGGGTTTTTTGAAGATTAAGTGAGATAATCTATGAGAGGTGTTTAGCATATCTGTGGCCCATAGTCAGTGCTCAATAACTGTTAGCTATTATTGTTACATGTAGCAGGCATCTGAACCCAGAACTCTGGCCCTAAAATTCCTACTCTGTGCCCCATGCTTCCTTTCCTTGTCCTGATGCCCACTGATGGGCTCTCTGGGAACTGTGATATCAGCTGATGACAAAGGTGGAGAAGGTTCACTGTGCCCAGGGCCCTGTTTGCTTCTCTGTAAGTCTGAGCAATAGCCTGTGTGGTGTCTTCTTCTCCTGGGGCTCCCTGCCCCCAGCACCTGCACATACGCTCCCATACTCACAGAGGGGTGGCACATCCCTTTACGGGACCTCTTTTACTCTAGAACCAGCAGTGAGGCATTGGTCTGGCCCATTCCCACCCCTTCTCCCTCATTCCCCACCTCCATTTGGGCCCTCCTTACCACCCTGTTTCTCTCCTTGGCTGGTGCTGGGCTATGTCCAGATTTTTTTTTCTCCTCAGCCACCACTCTGCCTTTTATTTCCAGCTCATGGACTCCTGGGACAGGGAGAGAGGAAGAGAGAAAGAAAAGGTGGCGGTCTTCTTTGGCATTTCTATTTGCAGACCTTGAAGAGGCAATTTAAGACTTTTAGTCTTCTTGTTAAAAAAAGGCAAAACCCATTTTTCTCCAATTTAGTTCAAGACATAGGGTGATGGAAAAAAATGCAAAAGGAGAAAAAAAGGAAATCTATAAAAAAAGTTTAAAAAACGGTGATAGATGGGGGCAGCCAGGTGACCAGAACGGAGCTATTACACGGCTGTTCTGCAGGAGGTGCTGACAAGGGCACCTCGGGGCCACTGCGGGCCATTAGTAAATGGACAGTTTGTTTGGGGCCGGCCTCTCCTGTCTGCATTCTGTCCTCCATTTGCCCGCCTCTGCTCCCAACCAGGGCCCACTGGACTCATGCCACAGAACATTCTCTAGACCTGCAAACCCAGGGGTCAGGACCCTCTAAAGGAAAACTGTATTTTATAAAAGGAGTTCGGGCACAAGGCAAGGTTTTTCAAAAAGAAACACATTTGTAATGGCAAAATTCCAGTAACTGGTGGCAGAGAAGATAGAATCACAGAATGTCAGGGCAAGGGGAAACCTTTGGGCTTACTTTAGTTCAGCCTTCTGCAGAAGGAAGGAGGACATAAACTCAGGTGTGGGTTAAGACGTGCATTTTTAAATGACCTCTCTGAAGTCACAGGCTAATGGTTGAGAGCAGTTTCCTATACCCATGCTCAGTGCTCTTTCCCCACTGCACCCCACTGTATTTGGGGTCCTGTGCTGGGCTGGCAGATGCCCCGAAGAAGTCTCCGTTCCAGCTAGGAGTCAGACGCTTGGATCTGAAAGCTAGCCTGTCATTTCCCCACAGTGTGGCCTTGGCCACGTTACTTAATCTCTCTGTGGCCCCACTCTTTCTTTTGTCCTCTCTGTTCTTTTCTTGGTGTGGTGTGGGTAACAGAACAGCCATGGGCTTTGGGGACCTTTGACTAGCTTTTTTCCATTTATAAAGACACTAAATGGAGAACCAAAGTGGCACCTTCCCACTGAGCACTACTAAGGGGTATGTGTGTCTTCTGCTCCACATTTTTTCTATTTTTCTTTCTCTCGTTCATGCTTTTAAAAACATATGAGTTTTTTAATATAAAGAAAGTTTTTAGATAGTGAAGAAGAAGAATGACCTGGAGAACTTGTTAAAACACAGATTACTCAGCCCTACCCCTGGGATTTTCAGAGTCATTAAGTTTGAGGGGGGAGCTTGGAGAAGTGACCCCTAGGAAGGGTGATCAGCCATCTGACTGGCCCAGGACTGAGGGATTTCTCTGGATAAGATACATTCAGTGCTAAACTGGATAATCTTGGGCACACCGGGATAGTTGCTTACCATGCTCCCAAACGCTGCTGATGCTGGGAATCTCAGGGCCACACTCTGAATCAGTGTTCTCCAAAGTCCCTTCTGGTTCTGCAAGTCCATGACCCCGAATGTAATCAACCTCTGTATCTGAGCAGATGTCACTGAGTGGGGTGGGGATGGAGCACCACATTTAGGACAGTTTCTGATGAGATGCCAAAGAGTTCCCAGACAGCTCAGGAATGCAGCCTCAGGGTGCCCGCCCCTCCAGGCCAAGGCTCTGACTGTAGAACAAAGCTGGGATTCAGGGCAGCCAGCAGGCTAGGGGACTGCTAATGGCACAGTCAGGGCCCACACTGTAGGACATCTCAGAAAAGCAACTGCAAATGCCTTGATGGTGAAGTGATGGATTTGGGGTACTTCCATCAGGGCCAGACATGGAGAGTCATGGGCTGTGAGACTTGGGCATCATTGTCTCTTCTACTGCCCCCACCCCCAAGTGAATGGAATGCGTCTCCAAGTGAAGAGATGAGGGACATGGAGAAAGAGCCCAGCTGGCTGGCCAGATGTGTTGGTTAGCAGGGTATGGCTCCGCAAGGGCTGGGTGTCCAAGAGCAGAGTGGACCACGCTGGGCAGTGGGTGGGGGCAAGCTGAGTACTTTCATAGGGATGAGTGGCCAGATGCAGGTTGGGGGCAGGCAGGGAGTACTTGGGAACTGACCGATGTACTGCACATAAATACAAGGCACTGTTGGCCCCTGGGCCAGCATCATCCTTCATTTGTTCAGCAAACAGGCACTGAGTCCCCACTCTGTGCCGGGACCGTACTCAGAGCCACTGGAGTTAGTCCTCACGGAGCTCACGGCAACCTTGCTAGCACAGAGGAAGGGGCATTGATTCCACCAGGCTGGGGTGGGGGTGGAGGGGCTGAGAGGGGCCTTTAACCTGATCTTTGAGGACAGGCAGAAAAGGAGTGAGGGCTGCTCTGGTGGAGGGAGCAGTGTGAGCAAAGGTCTGGAGGAGTGGCAGGGCCAAGGGGCCTGGGCTGCAGAAAGACTGGAAAGTCAGGTTAAGGGTCTGGGGCAGTCTTGTGCACCACAAGTGGTTGTGACTTTTCCACTTTCCCACATGCTCCATGCCTGGGATCTCATCAGCCTCTTTTTCTCTTTCTTCTCCCACAAGCAAGAGCACAGGTTAGGGGTGCCCTCTCTATTCCCTAAGGGGAGAACACCCCATACCAGGGTGGGGTGGGTAGGCTCCAAGGGAGCCTGGTGATTCTAAACCAAAGACAAAACCAGACCCCACCCCCACCCATCCCACCCCTTCAGTTAAAAGAGTGTCAGTTTCTCCCTTTGGGTTCTTGGCCAACAGAGGCCCTGCTGCGTGATGGCCAATGACAGCTGGGAAGGAGACAACAGTCTAGGCGGGGTAGTGTCTGGTTTTGGCTCCTAATGAAACCTGGTTGCAGTCCTGCACATGTGGCTCCTTCCCCCATGTGTCCCCCGTGTGTTCCCTGTGCAGCCAGCCTCGTCCTTCTTTGTCCTCATCTCCCTCTTGTTTAATTGTCACCCTTTGATGGATTCCCGGTAAGTGGATAATCCCTCTGAAACAGTCGCAAAAGCAAGGCTCCCTCAGACCCTCTGACAAGACAGGTGGAAGCAGCCAAAGGACTTCTAGCCCAGCCCCTTGGAGAACTGAGGGAGCTGAGTCTGGGGGTGGGGGGTTGGGGAGCAGTCACCCTGCCTATTGGCAGGCCTCCTGCCCCCTGTCACCATGAGTACCAACAAGATTGTGATTAGCTAAAATAATAATAATAATAATAATAATAATAATATAATTTACTAAATGTAACTAGGCACTGAGCTATATGCATTAATTAATTTAGTACTTAAAATAATCCCATGATGGGATTATTACCCTTTTTACAGAAGAGGAAACTGAGGCTCAGAACTAGAGAGCGGAGAGACATGAGCAGAGTGGGTACAGTTGTTTTACTTTTTTCAGCACAGTTCCAGTTTGGGCTTCTCGCAGTTTCCTTCAGCTTGGCAGCCTTTGGTTGAAGCCAAGAAAGAGGGAATCTTTTCTGGGCAGAGACCCCAGTCCCGGCTGCAGGAGGTGGCAGGGACAGAGCGTCTGACTCTGGAAGGATGCTGGGCCAGGAGGACCATGGTAGCTGTCACCACAAATATACCAAACTACTTGGGGAAACATGCTGGGAGGAACCACACTTTTTCCCTGGTCCCCCACCTCCTCGACTTCCTGGCTTGGGTTCCAGGGGCTGCTGGTGCTGAGTAGTGAGCCGGGCCTCTGGGTAACCGTGGGCTTCTTCTTTTATATCATTGTGTTTGTTGTGCAGGTAAATGAATGCAGGCAACTCTTTTAGCCCAAATTTAGGGTTTGATTGCGAACTACAGCATCAGGTGGATGGTGCTGCAGGTGGAACTTGAATTAAAATTCCAAACTAAAAATTCTTAGTCTTTATGCCCTGAGATATGTTTTCCTAAGTACATGACTCTATTTTTTTACTTCATTTGCAAGTGCTAATATGCATTACGTGGATTAGTCAGGGCTCCACTCATAGTCTTAGACAGGTGGTTTGGCTCTTACTTATTCTTTGCACTTACACATGTACAGAGTCTTGGAAAGTTCTGCCTGTGGATGGGTATCACCCTTTGCTATGTTTTTCCTGGGTCTTTGTTTTAAATTGCAGTCTGATCCATGAAATGAGGACTCCATCAGTGCTTATGACAAGAATCAATGAACAAATATAACAGTACTAGGAAGCAGGTTAGAGTATCTGGCTGTGCATACCAGCTGTCACCTGCAGCAGTGTGACCCTGGGCAAGTCACATGACCTCTCAGGCCTCAGCTTTCTCAGTATAAAGGAGCTGATGCTGGTCAAGCTTTGTACTCTTTGCAGGGTGGTTGTGAGGATCAAATGAGATGCAGAATTTGCAAGAACTGTGTGCACTGTAATTTTATGGCCTCAGTATCACACAAGGGTAAAGGGATTATTAAACCAACTCCTTGAGAGCTTTTTGAATGAAAGACAGCATGTGGGTAACCCTATAGAATATATAAGTCAGAGGCCATGTATCTGATAGCTGGGGACACAGTCTCAAGGCCTCTGCACCTAAGCCCAGCCTCCTGCTAGTGGACCCTCTTGCTAGATGGTCACAAGAGACCCTGTCCCCAGGTGACCATGAAGAATCCACTAGACCTTACTTTAACAGAGTTGGTTGGTTCAAATAGGAAAGCCATTTTAAGAGAGGAAGATACAAATATTAATAATATTTTAACTAAGGTTAATATTTAGATGATCTTCAAAATCATGAGAACCTATCAAATAACCAGTGGTAGAGAGAGGCAGGGTAAGAATTATAAAGAATTATATTCTCTGTAGAATAGGGAAATAAATTGAGGATTACACATTGGGAGGGAAAGGTAACTGACAGTGAAGGGATCTTTTCCAAGGCTTATCCTGGAAGCAGCGCACTTGATACCAGTAAAGAGCTTCCTGGGTTTCTACTCACTGTGTTTAAATTTGCACCTATAAAACTATATTCAGCCCTGGCTGGTATGGCTCAGTGGATTGAGCACCAGCCTGCGAACCAAAGGGTTGCTGGTTTGATTCCTAGTTGCAGCACATACCAGGGTTGCGGGCCAGGTCCCCAGTGAGGGGAGTGTGAAAGGCAACCCACACACTGATGTTTCTCTCTGTTTCTTTCTCCCTCCCTTTCCCTCTACCTAAAAATAAATAAATAAAATATTTTAAATATATATATTCTAACATTATTTCTCTTAGTCCACTCTTTTTCATTCATCAACATCTTAATTTCTGAACTCTGTTTCACCCAAAGTGTCCCCAAAATGCAGCTTTTGTATAGCCTCCTAATAAAGATCAATAGGTTGGCCCAAGGTCCATTTGAAAGGCTTCTAAACTCTCCTACATTGACCACCTGAAATTTTCCAGTTTTTAATGGCATTTTGATGAAAGTGTGACAAAAATCATTTTAGTTAGATAAATCTTTCTTGAAAAGTAGTCATGGCTGAATGTTATCACTCATTTGTATTTTAGTGTTAATTAATCAGATAATTTCCTGTTTTTCTAACCTTATAAAATTAAAATTTGATAAAAATACAGTAAAGTGCAGAGATCTTATGTGAGTCTCTTTCAAAATGAATATAGGCCTCTTAAGGCTATGTATTTCCCTCTAAGTACTGCTTTGGCTGCTTTCTGAACATTTTGATTCGTTGTATTTTCACTATTTTTTTCAAAGTATTTTCTAATTTCCATTGAATTTCTTTTTTGATCTAAGATTATATGTGAATTGCTTGATTTTCAAACATTTTGGGAATGTTTCAGTTGTCTTTTTCTTGTTGGTTTCTGGCTTGATTCTACAGTGGCTGAAGACTATGCTCTATATGATTTCAGCCCCTTGAAATTTGTTGAGACTTGTTTCATGGCTCTGAAAAGTTTCCTTTGGTGAATGTGCCATGTGCATTGAAAAGAATGTATATTCTCTAGTTTTGTTACTTATATTATTAAAACATATATTCCTACCAAAAAAGAAAGATTAAAAAAGGGGGAAAAAGCAAGAGTTAGAGTAAACATTAAGCACCTCATCTCAGTTCTCAACACAACAAGGCACTATAAAAGGAGCAGAGGGGATGGAAGGAGGTGCTCAAAGGCAGGGCTGCAGCCTGGGAGCCTGTGGATGGGTGGGTTGGACTCTTTGGGGCTGCATCTCAGGGCCTCTGTCATCAAAGCTGGGCTAATGACTGGTAAAGCCCAGATGGTGTCAGATGTCACACTTTCCTACTCCTTTCCCCCTTTGACTTAAGGAGGAATGGCCTTGCACCTAAAGTGGGTTCCATTCCCACTTCTGTTTGTAACTTGCTCTGCAACTTTGGGCTCAGTTTCTGTCACATGTAAAACTGGAATAAGTCTATCTCCCTTGCTGGATTGGGTACAGATGCAGCTCCCTTTCAGGACTTAGAACTGGCTTAGTAATTTCTGGTTACCTCTGCATCATCTAAGGCTCTGTGTATTTCATCAAGTGCCTGGCAATAACAATAGCTAATGCTGATCATGTGCCACATACCTGGTATGGTTCTAAGCACTGTAAGTATTACCTCTTTTAATCCTCATAATAACCATGAG